ACTTTCAAATGTGGAGTGTCATGCAGGGAATTCTGGGGAAATCAGTTTACAGTTTTTGACTGTAAATTATACATTCATTTGTTATTTTTACTTTTAAAAACTGTAACAGCATTTTACTGTAAAATTACATGAAATGTCTGGTTAGATATTTTACAGTTTTTCCCTGTATATAGTACGGGAACTTACTGTTAACCTATTAACAGTTTTTTTTCCCGTAGTGTTTTTACAAAATTTTTGTTAAAATTACAAATTTTTTACTATGTGTGTGTGTGTGTGTGTGTGTATATATATATATATATATATATATATATATATATATGTATATGTGTGTGTGTATAATCTTTTTTTATTTTATTTTATTTAAAATTACACTTCTTTATCAAGGAAAACTGCAACTGTTAAATACCGGCTACATGAAGTGCACAAAATGATGTGCTGGTTATATGACAGAGTAGTTTAGCTAATGAGCATTTGGTAAATTAGAGCTGCAGAGATGAGGGTTTTTGCAAATGAGCAGTATGTATCGGCCATAAGAGGTTTGCAAATTAGCACTTTGGTTTATGAGTTTAAACGGCGACGTGAGGCACGTGAATTCTGCAGAGCCAGACTTCAGTGTATTGGACACAAAACACTTTGAGTCCTAATTTAAGTACAATCCAAAACCAGGACGTTTATGTTCATCTCCACCTCCTTCGTCCTTTAAACTAATCCTTTTCTTGAATAGTGGTGAATTATATCTGACTGTGTATCTGCTATGATGACAAAGGCCTTTATGAACATGTTTGTGTATGCGTATTATTTAGTTTATATTTTTCCCGTTCAGATCTGCGCAGAAGAATTGTCTTTTTATAGTTGTTGACATTTGTGATGGTTTTGTTTCTGGTTTGGGTTGTGTTGCAGTGAGGAATGCATATTTGCTGTGGACTAAATGAGAGAAAAACTGCAGTCTGGGGACGCCGTGTGGCAGTGTGGATGTCCCAAAGGCTTTTGTTCTCTTAAAAACATACTTCTACTTATAGATCTTTTTTTTCTGAAATGTAAAGTTTTCTCTTCGTCTTGTGTGAACACACTGGAGAGCAAAAGAAAACAAGTGCATGAGGATATAGTAACCAACACTATAATTTGGTGTTTAAAAAAAAGGAATACTAAGTTTTTGTGTCTTTAAAACAAATATTTTATTGATGCAAAATATAGAACTTGCTAACAGATTGGATTGCTATAAAATATTGGAAATGATCATGATTTTTCCAAAATAATGAATCTCATTTTGTTTCCTGCTATTATAATTTGATCAAACAGAACAGTTGAAAGTAAAAGGAAATGATTTTGAATGATGATCAGAGAAGGTGCCAGCTGCTGAAATGACTGGAAAAGTGAACGACATTGGAGCAAGTGACGTTTATGTCGTTTAGTTTTTCTGCCACTAAGTTTTTCTTCAAAATGTATAATTACATTTGTCCTATGTCCGGCTTGACCTGGTTACCACGAGATTACACAATTTTTATCATGCAGATTTTAAAAGTGTTATTTGAGATTTCACAGAGAATCATATAATTCACATTATTTGTTTGGCGTTCGTAAGATTTTGTTTTAAAGGGGTCACTGCAATATAACAAAGAGTGAAAAATTTAAGGGGGTCTGAATACTTTCCGTACCCACTGTAGATAACTATAAGCATGAACTATCAGCAGCTTAGTTAGCAGTTAGCTTTGTAAGCATTAATTTAAACTTTACAAATCAGTGTACACTACCATTTAAAAGTTTGGGGTCAGTAAGTTTTTTTTTTTATCTTTGAAAGAATTTAACAATTTTATTCAACAAGGATGCATTAAATGAATCAAAAGTGACCGTAAAGACATTTATAATGTTACAAAACTATTTCTACTTCAAATAAATGCTGTTCTTTTGAACTTTAAATTCATCAGAGAATCCTGAAAAAAAAAAAAAAAAATCAGTTTCCACAAAAATCTGAAGCAGCACAACTGTTTTCAACATTGCTAATAATCTGAAATGTTTCTTAAGCAGTAAATCAGCATATTAGAATGATTTCTGAAGATCATGTGACACTGAAGACTGGAGTAATGATGCTGAAAATTCAGCTGCGCATCACAGGAATACATTTCTTTTTAACAGATATTCACATAGAAAACTATTTTAAATTGGTATAATATTTGACAATATTACTGTTCTGACAGTACCAGTAACCATATCTGATTTGATTTGGTTTGTTCAGCATAAACCTACATATTGTAGGCCCTAAATGTCCAGGTCTGGTTGTCTTGTGAAGCCCTCACTCACTCCTCATGTCTCTCTCTACCTCTCCATCTGTTCTTCTCTCTCTTCTCCCATCAGGCTTGTACTGTACCTACGGCTCGCTGTGCGTCTCTCCCTTCCTGCCTCACAAAAGACCCCTCTGTTCTCAGAGCTTTACCCCGGCCACCCCACCCCCTACCTCAACACCCAAGTGGTACATTCCCTCTCCTCCTCATCCTCCTCCTGCAGTGCGTGTCTCATTGTGAGGCTCTACTCCTCACCTTTAGCTGTAGTCTGGCTACAAAGCTGCATTGTTACGGTACAGTGCCGCAAACACCTCAAGCTGATGTGTTAGATCAGGCTCGACAAACAGACCTGTTGTTTCACACATGCTGCAGAGCGCAGCGTAACACTAAGACGTTTGTCTTCTCCAGCTCTGCAGATACAGAATACTAAGAATGATTGATGCCTTAAGGGTCCTACAAATTCTAAATGTAATCACAAAATATACTTTAAAAAATTTTGGAAAATGTTTTTTTTTATGGATTTGAAAGCAATCTTATATGCTCAATAATGATGCATTTTGATCTAAATTAAAATATAGTGAATTATATTAATTATATATTGATATTACTAGATAAAAATATGCAGCAAAATGTTGTATTATTATTATTATTATCATTTTAAGATATTATGAAATGTAATTTATTCCTGTGATGCAAAAAGCTTGAATTTTATAGTGTTATAGTTTTTGTTAAAAATTTTGAATTAGATTTTTTTCTTCATATTTGCAATAATTTTTGTTACATTTTAAATCATTTTTATCAGTTTTTAAATATGGCTGTAATGTTTTTTTTTCTAAATTGTATAATTTAATAATGTTATAATTATATAAAATATAATTAGAAAAAATATAAACATAATTATTTAATAATTTCGTTTTTCAAGTTAAAGTAAACCTAAGAAATGTTGCCTTGGCAACAAACTGAAATAAACAAGTTTACGTTTATTTATTTCAGTTAATGTTTATTTTTTTCAAGTTTTTTATTTTAATTATTTTAGTTAACAGTAATTATGTTCAGCATCATTACTCCAGTCTTTAGTGCCATATGATTCTTCAGAAATCATTCTAATCTGTATAAATCTTTTGTAACATTATACATTTCTTTACTGTCACTTTTGATCAGTTTACTGCATCCTTGATGAATAAAAGTATTAATTAAAAAAAAAAATTCATCAAATGTATCATCACATTCATCATTGTGCTTGACTGGAGCATGCAGCTCTAGGTTGATCCTGGAGGGTTTTTCCTGCAATTAGTGTTCTGGAAATTGCATGTTGTTTTTGTAAAACTTTCTGCTAAATGACATGTAAGCTCTGTTCCAAACTCCTGCCAGCTGCCTCGCTGTCTACTGCCTAAATCAGCTGCTACCTTCTAAGGCGGCATCCCAACCGCAATAAAACCCCAGAAGCAGACCCACACGGATCTGAACCCACAAACACTCCACTGATTTCTGCTGAATCTGAATGCTAATCATTCCCAATCCATTAACTTTAAAATGTCGCTTCAGGCCAAAATACGAGTCCATAATCCATAACGTTTCCTCCGGTGAAAAAGTCCTTGCCCTGGTGTCCTCTCACATCGAAATCCACCCACATATTTGTTTAGAACAGTTTTGGCTCGTAAACAGTGCTTGATCTGTGCAGATTTCTCTCCTGATAAAGATGAGATGATTTTTTTCACTAGAGAAAGCAATATTAATATGGATAGAGGACTTGTATTTTAGCCAGAAGCAAAGGTTTAAAGTTTAAAACACATGAATTTGTTTCTTACAAACACGCAGCTTTTCACTTCATAAGACATTAACTGATGGACTGGAGTGGTGTGGATTATTGTGATGTTTTTATCAGCTGTTTGGACTCTCATTCTGACGGCACCCATTCACTGCAGAGGATCCATTGGTGAGCAAGTGATGCAATGCTACATTTCTCCAAATCTGTTCTGATGAAGAAACAAACTCATCTACATCTTGGATGGCCTGAGGGTGAATACATTTTCATTTTTGAGTGAACTATTCCTTTAATATCCCTTTGAATTTCATTTAATATCTTGTCTAATATGACACGACTACACTTTCAGCTCGCTTTAACACATTTTCCACAGATTGTCCTCCAAACCCAGCGTAGGAAATGTGGGGAAAGTCTGCAGATTCAGCCTGGGCCTGTTCAAGTGACAGATTTGAAGCTCTCTATAGGTGGCAAGTCCATGCAGCACATGATAAACCTCTCACAACACCTGACAGTAGCAAACATCCATTCAGCGTGAATGCATTACAAACAGGGATGTTGGTGATGTTGCTAATGCTCAGGACTGTCCAAATGCACATGTGCTTTTACATTTTTAGACTTTTCAAAGATTTTTCCTTTTTTTATTTTTGATTCTTTATTTATTAAAAATGTTTGATTTATAACTTTTTACAGCAGAGCCCGAGATCTGCCCACATAACCCCAGGGGGTTACAATAAAATGTTACAAAACAAGTACATCTTAGGATTTCAATAAAGATGTTTCCTTTTTTAATAATCTTATTATTCATCTCAATACAAGCAGAGATTTTGTATTTTCACAGAAAAAGGAAAAAAATGCCTACATCATGACGGTTCATGTGGGTACTTCTAGGTAAGCCCTTTTCCCATAAATGTGACCCTGGAGCACAAAAGCAGTCATAAGTCGCTGGGGGATATTTGTAGCAATAGCCAAAAATACATTGTATGGGTCAAAATTACCGATTTTTCTTTTATGCCAAAAATCATTAGGACATTAAGTAAAGATCATGTTCCATGAAGATATTTTGTAAATTTCTTACCGTAAATATATCAAAACTTCATTTTTGATTAGTAATATGCATTGCTAAAAACTTCATTTGGACAACTTAGTACTGTGTTAGGCTAACCGAGACTTGTCATTTGCACTTATATATTGTTGCTCTTTTGTTAGTTTTGACTGCTTCTATTGTCCTCATTTGTAAGTCGCTTTGGACTTAAATGATTTTAGCAAATGGCTGCAATATAACAAAGAGTGAAAAATTTAAGGGGGTCGGAATACTTTCCGTACCCACTGTATATACAGTGCTGGGTAAAATGTGGACAAACCTAGCAATTGGGTTGTTTTGACCTAGTGGTCTCTCTCTCTCTCTCTCTCTCTCTGTGTCCTCTCCATCACCATCTCCTCACTTGACTCATCAGTATGTCCCCACATTTCCACTTCAGTCAGTGGGTCATATGAATCGACCTCCTCCCTTCTGCTCAGGACACCCTCCCACACCACCCCTCTCTCTCTCTCTCTCTCTCTCTCTCTGGGCAAATACTGTTTCATCCCTCTCGCTGTGTCAAAACAACCCAATTGCTGGGTTTGTCCATATTTCACCCAGCACTGGGTTGTATTTAACCCAGCATTTTTTAGAGTGTAGGAACTATTTAATGCTATAAATGAATCTGGATAACATAGTTCAGATTATTTGGCCTTGTAAAAATGTGATGAGAAATATATGACTTCATAAGGAGAGTGAGCAATCATTTTCAGTCATTCTCTTCTCTGTCTTCCTCTCACACCTGTTCATTTCACCTGTTTTAAATAAATGTAGTTAGTTCTGTGACATCAGTCATTAATTTTATTAGTTAATACCTTAATCTGAGCATTATATATCCTGGGTTGTTTTGAATCCAACCGCTGGGTCAAAACAACGCAATAGCTGGGTTTGTCCCTTTTTAACCCAGCGCTGGGTTATATTTAACCTAGCATTTTTTAGAGTGTAGTGAACGAAGGCAAAAGTCTCATTTTGCACTCCATTTAATCTCATTGCTTTCTTGGTGAAACTATCATATCTGTTCTGAAATGTCCATTACACAACCTCTCGATGTATGTTCCATTCCCTGTATACTTCTACACTCTAAAAAATGCTGGGTTGTTTCAACCCAATTTTGGGTCAAATATGGACTAACCCAACTGTTGGGTTAAATTTTGGTTACATTTTTAAATTAACTTTTTAACCCAACAGTTGGGTTAGTCCATATTTGACCCAAAATTGGGTTGAAACAACCCAGCATTTTTTAGAGTGTAGAAGTATCTGTTAAACAGTTACCATTACTGAGGCGATTGAAGAAGCTGAAGTAAATTTGCTTAATGATGCATAATTGTGCTAAATGTTCTAAAGTGCATTCAGCGGCCACATTTAGAAAATCTGAACAAATGAGTCAACCCGAGAGATTATGTCAGTGTTCACATGCTTGCTATGATCATCAAACATTTATTTGTTGCTTTAAACTCTTACTAGCATAACTGACAGTTTGATATAGCTCTCATATACAAGCTGGCATTAAACTTGCTTCATTTGGGACCTCCAGTTTCACCCTTCCCATTTCACAGGCGTATATGAGTCCGGCATCCAAAATCACTGAGCCATTCTCTTTCATTTTGCGCTCTTACATCTGGGTCTCTACTTACTGGGAGCTCTGTGTAGCATAATACAGAGTTACATACATAGGCAATTTTTTTCAGTGCTCCCGCTGTTACCCTGTCCCAACCCAGTCCATTTCCTCACAAACACACACACAAATATGCACATGCGAGTGTATTTCCTCCCCCCCTTCTCCAATCTATTTTGGTGTGTTGTAGTGGGCTAGGGTGTGTGTGCGTGGTTTGCAGCCCTGCCCATTAAAATACAGACTTTTTTAAGGAAGTCTGCAATATAATCTGGTCGCTTTATTGTAATTACAAGGTCCCCATTTTGAAAATAACCAGGCTGTCCGCAAGAACTTGCCGTGTCTGTCTCCAAGGAAAACTTGAGTTTGCTTTCGTGTGCCCCCCATTGAACTGCTTCATGCCCAGCACGTAGCACTATCGGGAGATAATTCATTTTCTCACACACAACAAATCTCAGATGTTGTCATAAAATCTGTTAGCATGGGTGGTCAACCAAAACCCACACAACCGCATTGCTAGCGGCCTATCGTCAAAGCCTGGAATTACTGTGGACAAATTAGTAGGCTGTATTAATCCGAACAGTTGTATTCGCTCAAGGTGGGAAACATCTGTCTTGAAGATTTCTCTGTCAGAGTCTGAGTGGCTTTTTACCTTTTGCTTTCTAAGTTTTATCGGTTGCATGGTTTGTACAAATGCCAAGACGTTATGTCAGTCGTCTATTTATGTGGATTTTCTCAAGGTACTTTGCAGTGTTTGAGTTGAATTTGCGCTTCACTGTTTCTCTGGATGTAAACTGGTCTCAGGCCATTTCAGCTGTATGTTTATACCTTCTCAGGGTCTTCACCTGTATGCCAAACTCTGCTTGGTTTTATGCATTCTCAATGTCTATGTTCACATGCTCTGCCATGGTTTCAGACAGACCAAGCAGTAGGCGATTTAATGCATTTAATTGTTTAATGTCAGTTTAGAGAATTTCCTTTTTTTTCCCCTGAATGCTGTTCATGATTAAACTGTAATTTTGAACAACACAGCTAGTTTTTATCCTACTCGGACAGCATAGCAGGCATAGCAGTTAGGTTTAGCATCAGTGATAATTTGAAAAAAAAAATTTTCAATCTGCATTCCCGCAAAACAAAAAGTGCTCTGATCTGCGATTCTAAATATTTATTTATTTTTTATTTTTTGTAATTTATTCCCTTAGTTGTACTTTGGACAAATTTGAGCGAGAGTAATTTAAATGCTGCATTGCATTTTATCTTCAGCAGTAATATAGTAAAGAACACCTGATTCCCACTTTCCACCCACATCCCTCATTTTCCATGATCTTTTCTCACATTTTTAAAAATACCTTTATTCTTTCTCACATTCTCCTCCGGTCTCTCTGTGTCAATGGAAACACCACAGATTTAAAGCGTATGATTATACTGTTTTATTATAGAAATGCTAGAGTGCACCAGCCAGAAGCCTTACAAAAACACATGCCATGATTGTTTATGGATTGTCTCCTTTAGACCATAATGGGCTACAGTCCATAAAAAGCACTGATTTCAATCATTTTTTTCCTGCAAATTAGAAAAAGTTCTCGTCAGCTCCTAATAATGTTGGTAGGGGTTTTAATATTCATAAAAGAACACAGTGCAGGTTATATTGTGATTGGTGGCTGCTGACAGTGTGCTATTTTATACCATCCTGTTTTATAAATATTTGTTTTATGCACTTTTTTTATTTTTGAGTAAGCAGAGACACATTATATAGGGTTGTTTCTTCAAAAGCACAGGTGCTTATAAAGATCTGGACAAAGAATAGGCGTAACCTAAATAAATGACTGGGCTTCTTTTTTTTATCCCTTACTTTGAAGAACTGCAGTTTGCTGCATCTATAGGAGGCAGTGAGAGAAAAATAATAATAAAGGAAAGTAGAAACATCAAAATGTGTTTCGTGGGAGTATCAGAGATCAAATGGGAGCGAGCTCATGATTACACTTAATCATATAGGATTTACTTGATAAAATCTTCGTTAGGCTACATAATTATATTTCAATCTTGACAACTCTCTGAACATTTTAGTATGGTGATGGATATGACAGTGTTAATGTATTTGGGCTTGGCGGAACAGATCTGCTACAATGCTGCTGTTGGTTATTGCTGTAGTTGTAGATTATTGCTGCTGCTGCAAGCAAGTACAGGAACTTGCTACTGCCAATGCATACGGCGATACGGTGCCGTGAGTATTTAAGACATGCTGCTGCTGCACAAATAGCATATAAAATAACCCCGTAGCAGATCTATACAGGTGGAGCTGGGGAAGGTGGAGGGTTTCAGAGAAACTCTGAAAGCGCGCTGCAGGAATCTCAAGTGAATGCTAGCCAGCCATATAAATGCAAGGCAGTAAGCTCATTGGCTGCATATGCAGCATGAACCAATCAGCTTGTGCCAACTCTCTGAATATCATCAGTTACGTTAACACCCCGTCAGAATGCACCATCTAGAGTTTCATGACTGAACTATATATTTAATTTCACATATGCAATTAAGTAAAAAAAAGGACTTAACTAAGTTAAGTAAATTTAACAAAGAAAATAAGTAACTAATAAGTCATTTTTATTTAGTCAAAGCTTGCATCTAGAGTTTCATGACTGAACTATATATTTAATTTCACATATGCAATTAAGTAAAAAAAAGTACTTAACTAAGTTAAGTAAATTAAAAAAATAAAGAAAATAAGTAACTAATAAGTCATTTTTATTTAGTCAAAGCTTGCTGGCAATGCTTTGATTTTACTCAATATAGCACCTAATTAAACCATGCTTTTAAAAGTGTTTTAGTCAGAAAATTCAAAGTTATCATGTAGACACCATATCTACATAATTAGTAATGCAGCACTCATCCGAAAACAGAGAGGTACACAATGACGGTAGCATTCTGTGGCTCATTTTTGAGTATGAATGTGTCATTTTGAGTTGAAAATGAACTCCATGTAACAAAATCGCAAGTTACTAAACCTAACAGCAAAAGCAATGATAAAACAGTGCAGCTGGAAAACAGCTAAAACAATCAACCTTATGAATTATTCATGCCCCAGTGCATGATGGGAACAACGGTATCAGACAAGTTGAGTAGGTTTTACCTAATTTTATAACGTTGATATTAATGCTTTAACTTCTACAAGCTTGAATTGAGTACTAATAAAGAATTTACTTTTCTTTTTTTAATGCCTAGACTAACTTTTTTGTTTTTCTGTAGTATTTACTTCACCACAAAATAAGTTTTTATCAACGTTGCTTTTGACTTTTGTCACTTAAAAGGTCTACTTATGTGGCTATGACTTTTATATATGAACTACTTCAAGCAAATGCTTTATAGCTACTATAAATTCTGGTAAACTGGGCCACTTTTGACATTGAGAACGTGAAAAAGTAATACCTTTTAATAAAACAAATTCTCAGCCATAATAAGATTACTTTAAGAGTTAGCGGACGTGACGTGGCTTTACGTGAGGCGGTTACTATAGCAACAACAGTAGACCGCTCGAGCGCCTTCCGTTAGGATCAGTATGGGACGGTAAGTCGACAAAGTAGCCTACCGTTTCATCACTTTATTGTGTATTTACACATATAACAGCGTCTTTAGGATAGTAACTTAGCTAAAAGTACTAGTTGCGCCGAAAGACGTTTTGCGAGAGAGAGTTGCGCGCCATAAACTACGGAAAGAAAAAAGAGAGACGGCCTGAAAGCCATCAATAACTGCCATACAATAAACATTTCTTTAATAATAGTGTATGACTAACCGAAATGAAGTTTTGCTGACAGGGCTAAACGTTCGTTTCGATCCATATCTGCTGGCGTGGTCGTTTAATTTGAGTAACCGAGTCTGAGAGACCGAGACCTGAAAGGGGGCGGGAAGAGGGCGCGTGACGTCACGAGCGGATCAGGATCTGATTGGCGGATGAAGTCCTTCATGCTTACGGACCCATCGGTCCTGCAAGGTTCAGCTGTGAAACAGAAATAAATAGAGAGAAATAATCTGACTGAACTACATGCCAATCGCTGGCACGTCAACAACAAACAGCTCATTTGATGAATGCAGATATTTTAGATCCTTTAATAAATTATTGAAATTAACGGAGTCGACACGAAACGAACGTGTAGAAAGCCGCAGAAGTCTGTATGCATGCATTTCCCTCCCTCTTTTTTTTTTTTTTTGCTCTCTCCCCTCTCATTCACTTTTTCTCTCTCTCTCTCTCTCTCCACACACACACACACACACGCACGCACACGCTCGCGCACCCTTGCATTTCGTGGCAACAGATTCTCCCACACATTTAACACATTACATTTAAATTATTTAAATGTATTTCTTTTAGTGCCATGTTTCAAATTAGATTTTGTAATGTAATTTAGAATTGCATACAGGAAATTTTCATGACATCTCCTCAGATCCCTTAATATATTTATTGAATTTATGCATGGAAAGTGCATTGCATTACTATTACTATTGTTCATACTTGGTATTAAACTTGTAACTATCCTTTCTAGGTGATCAGCCTTATGCTTTTCGCTCTGAGCAATCGTTTCTTTATTATTCTTCTCCCAAAACTGACAAACAAAACTAACCCTAGTGATTCAACTCCAGCTGTAGGAACCTTTTCACTGTGTAGCCGCAACAGGCCTCCAGAAGCCTCACACTTCCACAAATGGCTCTGTTGACAACAATACAGTTCCTCTGGTTGAAGAAGCACAGTTTTGCGGTATGTCCTAGAGAGATAGTCAGTCATCATGTCTTCAAGTTTCATTCCACACAATCTTTTTGGAAATGGGTTGTTTTTGAACCTAAAAGGATCATAGAAATTTGGCATACACTCTTAAAGAAGGAGGTTTTCTCACCAGTGCCATAGAAGATCATTTTAGTTTCTCAAAGAACCTTTCAAGTTCTTATAAGAACCATTTTTTCTTAAAGAACATTTGAATAATCTGAAAACCCTTTTTCCACTTTAAAGAACCTTTTGTGGAATGGAACATTTCCATTGATGTTAAGGTTTCTTCATAGAAACATTGATGTCAATGTAGAACCATTATTTTGAAGAGTGTAGTGTTTGAGCCATTGATACCTTAAATAGATCACTGGATCTCTCTTCCAGACATGTTTCATTCCATTATGCAGCTGGTTATTCAGGGGGAAAAAATCTTAAACATGGAAACATGCAATGAAAATGTCTTTACCAGAAGTTTGTTGCAGCAGGTTTTATATCTCACAAAATGTCTGTGTTTCAAGGTCAGTTTAAAATAGCTTTTTTTTTGGGAATGCAGACATCTCGCCACAAGAGGGCCCAACTCATGCTCAAGCTTTTCAGCTCAATAGCACCACATCTGAAGGATTCACTGAGCACATAATAAGCACCCTCTTCCTTTAGTCTGGCTTATTTTTTTTATTAACATGTCTCAGGGAATTGAAACTTTTGTGCATGCCTTATGATTGTAGCTCTCAATGTATGGTTACATACAGAATTTAAAGGTGACCAAGCTATTTGTCAGTAACTACATTTTTGGTTCAGAATGTTTTGCTAACCATATTATCTTGGATTGCTATTAATAGGCATTTATTTTGAGTAATTCTTAGTAAAGTATATAAATTTTTCTGTGAGTAGTGTATACTTTGGTTTACAGTGATGGGTGTATACAGAGCTGTGGGGAGTCTGTATAAACGCTCAATCTTTTTTAGTTTACATGATGTTTAATACAGTGGCCGTGTGGTCAGTTTATCCATCCTGGCAGGGGCGAGCAATGTACACCACACTGACTCATACTGAACCACCTAGA